GCGAGGGAGTCGTGTTCACGATTTTTGAAGGGGGAGTCGTATTGTAGGGTTCCTGGTGTGGTCGTTGTTGCGAAAGGGAGTGGACTGTTGATTGTAACAATGAAAATGTGCAGAGATTAGAAATGTCCAACATTTCAACGGTTGTGCCCCTTGGGAGGCCTTTGGGGGGGGGGGGAGTGGTCGTGTTCCCCATCATTATCAGCGTCACAATTAACCCTGATTTGAACACCCACTTGTTACATGGTGTAGTAGACATTAGCCTTCATACACAATGAGCGAATAGGGCCCAGTGGAGGGGCGGGGCAGTTTAGCCGGACCGTGATTTCTTCTTTGGATGAAAGGCAGTTAAAATTGAGAGGGGGAGTGGCTATCGAGGATCTGAAGGGCATCCCATTCCAAAAAATTATGTACTCTAGGTCCGCTTACCAAAATTGGAATGAATCTTGTCCAAGCCGACCAAGCCTTCCATCCATTTTGGGTCGGTTAAATAATACACGAATTGTCTGAGAGGATAAAACCACTGACTTGTAGATAGACTGGTTTGTGGAGGGCATGTGGGCTAAATCGCATCCAGGTGCCGCTGCAATTACGAATGGAAAGAAGAATGTCTAAGAATGTGTGGCGCATCCCAAAGAGGAACTGACCAACGCTTCAAGCTATTTTTAGCTTGTCACTAGAAAGCGAGATTACATAGTAGCACTACATATAAGGTAGGACGCCGCAAATTCTTTTCTCAAGCCACTCAAAAAGGAAGACTTACTGCAAAATCGGCTCGATCCTGAATGTCAGTGGTAGTGTGTGATTGTGAATAAGAACCAAATGCATGGCTCATTCCAAAGGGAGCGACTGCGACTTCAAATTTGGTTTACTAATCCATTTAACAAGTATGGTTAACACTTCAAGAACTGAGCTCGTGAGAGTCAGTTAAAAAAAGAGCTAAAAATGGAGACCCAAATTTTAGTTCTGGTCAAGATTGGCTCACTATTTCTCCTTTCCATTTTCTTTATTTAAATTAATTATTTTAAAATTAAAGTTGTCTTGTATTTTCAAAGATTGAGTAGCGAAGAAAATATGTGATGATCTCACTGATATTAATTTTTTTACTCAGATGTATCTTCTGCGGATTATGCCAAGAAGCGTGTCCTGTTGATGCTATCGTTGAAGGGCCGAATTTCGAGTACTCAACTGAAACTCACGAAGAGATGCTCTACAACAAGGTTGTTAAACTCTCTTTGAAACTTAGACAGCAACTTCTCGTAGTCAAGTCTTCTCTATGACTTAATAGCAAATGAGCTTTGGGTTTCATCCAGCAGGGGGGCATGTGGTGCGACAGTTCATATCGCCTAAATAATCCAGTTTTCCGAAAGGAAAGAAGCCCGGGGTGGGGGTAAAAGGATAAAGGATAAAGCATTTGCCGTTGATCAATCCCTTTTTGGGATGCGGCACGCATTCTACTTCCATTTGTACATTCGTAGTGGCGTTTGAATGCGATGTGGCCTATACAATGACTTGCGGGGGCCAGCCGATGTACAAGTCAGTGTTTTTATCCTCCCAGACAAGTCTGGTACCAATTAACCGACCCGGAGGAATGGAAGGCTTGGTTCGTTCGGACGACGCACGGTCCGGAATCCCGGGGTAGGGTTAAAGCGAAATTAAATAGTTCACGCACTCCGGAAGTCGTCTCTCTTGTCCCCTGCAAAAATTAGAATTTCTGGAGGCGGCAGCAATGTCGCAACACATGCCCTCTTTTCTAGATGGGACTTGAGGATTTTTGAATCTAGCCAAAATTCCATGGATATCTACATCCATCCAAAGATAAGCCCATCTTGGCAGAGTTCCGCTCTTGCGCAACTTTAAAGTTTGTCAAAACTCGGGTTTTTGTTACTAATGCCTCCTTGCTTGCAGGGGGAAGTTGGTGTAGTGGCAAGTGGCGCGCTTACCACGCGAGCGGTCCGGGATCAAATCCTGGGTCGTGAGTCGCCCGGGCCAACCAAGCCTTCCATCCCTCCGGGGTCGGTTAATTGGTACCAGACTTGTCTGGGAGGATAAAAACTGACTTGTAACATCGGCTGGCCCCCGCAAGTCATTGTATAGGCCACATCGCATTCAAACGCCACTACGAATGTACAAATGGAAGTAGAATGCGTGCCGCATCCCAAAAAGGGATTGATCAACGGCAAATGCTTTATCTTTATCCTTATGCATCCTTGCCTTTGATTAGAGGGCTCGTCTGAAAAGCGAACTCGAGCAAAAAAAAAAACGGGGCGAACGTTCGACTTTTGCAAGCAGACTATATGTGGAAGTGAAGGGGTAGCGAAAAAATCTCATCCAGTTCATTTACTTTTCGATTATACCCTTGTTGAACTTCACGGCATATTACGTAAATAAAAAAAAAAAAAACAATTACGTAAATAAAAATAGTTTAATGAATTACAGGAAAAATTGCTAACCAATGGCGACCGTTGGGAACCCGAACTGGCTGCCAACCTACAGGCTGAATTTTTGTATAGATGAGCCTCGCAGACAATAATGTAATGGTTTTTGTTGTACTGAGTTATTTTCAGTAGTGATGTTAAACTGTATAGCAGAAGATGTGATCACGAAAACTACCTACAGATTTAATAAAACTCTTTGTAGAGTTGTTTCACTGCAAGATTATCAATAGCCCTGTACAGACCAATTTAGTTCCCCATATTGAATATGCGTCACAGCCGCTTCAAGCGATAAGGGATTATACCAGCAACTTATGGTTCAGGATTCTAGCCTTCATTGGCTCATGACATCGAGCCTGTTCTCCTCTCTTCCTTTCATAACCTCAGGTTTTTCAGGTCAATTACAAAATTGCAGGAATTTTCAACTTACTCCTCTTCTTCAGGTCCGTCCCACTCCATGTACACTTGAGCCCTAATCCACAAACCTCTGCCTTTGTTCTCCCTGCCTATAGGCCGTCTCAGAACTGTACTAGGTATCCTCTGATTCTAGCCCACCCCCACGGCGCACGCCCCGCCCACATTAAACTTTTCTGCTTCGCCAGTATCGATCCACTCCACTGCTAGAATATATCAGGACGGAGATATGAATTTTGGTATCAAGCAGGGCTAACTTCGAGTCTGGCCACCTACCCCGGGTTGATCCTTAATATCATCCACCTCATTCTGCGTGATCCCATCAAGTTTTGCTGAAGAGAAATCGGAAACGATGAAAACATCAAAAATTTCTGTACATAATGGTTCAGCAATTGTTACGGCAGAGGCAGCCGGTTGCCATTATCTGCCTCGATAATTTGAGTTGATTTGGGACAGGTTGCCAAAGTTGTGGTTTGAACCCGGGCCCTTGGCTCAATCTGAGCAAACCAACAGCGCGAAAGTATTCCAGTGGGTACCAAGCTTTTCCAAAACGGTTTTTTACATGATATTGGGGCACAGAACCATGGTTAATTTTTCCTAAACGGCCTTCTGAATACAAAAAATGGGTTCTTAGTTCGAATCCTAGAGTGACAAATGTTTGCATTTCAAGTTTACGGTTCAAAATTCGCACAAAATCGAGCCATCATGAACGAAGATGCTGTATAATTCATAATTAGGACCGTCAATAACCAGGTCAATACGCGGAAATGCAAAAGTTTTCACCACGAGGAATTTAACCAGCGACCCCCTTTTCTGGTCTTGAGAGGACCGTTTAGAGAAACTAAGCATGCTTCTGTGGCTCCCGCATGTGCCCTATATAATGCAAAAGACCGCTTTGAAAAAGCTTGGCACCCCCTGTAAGAGCGTTCTGTAAGCAACAATGGCGCTAGGGCCTACAAAGTGAGCTAGTGTGGCTAATGAGCTAGTGGACGAGATACCTCGCGCCCCAGAGGCGCCTTGAAATAATCGAAAGACGTATCCTGTACCTCAGACGAATTTCAAGTTAATCGAGGATGAGAGGGTCTTTCATCACTTGAGAAGGATAATGAGAAGTTTCTCATCAAGTGCACCATCAGTATACGTGAAGGTTGCTAATGGTGTCCCATTTTCCAAAACTAGGTCGATTTTTGAATCATCCCTAGGCTTTCCGCCTCCGATGCGCCTGGTTACCGCGTCACAAGCTCATCACGTACCCTCCCTTTCAAAAAACGAGAAGAGCGTCGGGTGCAGACCATACACCACAAGTGACGACGGCCTCCAAGTAAATCTGGTTAGTAGTGGTTCATAGTGATAGCTGATTTTTGGTAAATGATTAGGTTGTAACTTAGTTACAACTGATAGATTACATTGTAACGGCTAACATTTTCATTGGCAGGAGCACTTCATTTTGTGGAGGCCGCGTCCGTGTTCGTGGGGTATGGTCTTGCACCCGACGCTCTGTCTCATTTTAGATGGAGGTAGTAATTCAGCGCTACTCTTTCTTTCGAACCAGTTCGCTTAAAATCCACATCATAAAGAATTTTAATGTACGTGACAGTACACATGACATCTTATCTGTGGCTCATGGCACCATTATGGGGTCTAATCTGAAAAGGAAAGTGGGATCGAGCCAGAAACCCTCCCCTGCCATCCCCAGAGGGCAGGCGTATCCCCTCAAAGAATTAGGCTTCAAACGAAAAGAAAACACATATTAGCGATTTCTGGCGGGCCGGAAGTGTGGCGACTTTAAAAGAGGACATTACTTATATAATACTGACACTTCACGAGTAAGTAAGCTTTACTTTTCACGTCAGAAAAAATCGATCTGATGGCTGGATTGAGAAGCCGATGTGTCAGCCGCCGACGTCGATACGTGCACTTTGAGAACGTGTGTAGTTGCAGACTGGCAATGCGAAGCTTCACGTGTTAGGACTTGTGAGATGCTTTTGCCAGTCTCACATAACATGTCCTATCATGTTCATCAGGGCCAATATTCAAAGGGGTTTAGAATAGCCCCCGTGGTTCACTTTTTTCACTTTAATCGACCTTGAACCAAGCTGTACATAACATCTGCCCCGATCTCGACAATTTTCTCCTCCTTTCTGAATCCTGCTTCTGTGAACGTGAATTCTTAAATCGCTACTGTGTTATAATCTGTCTATTATTCTCCTATATTTTTTTTTTCCGCTTCTCCGGAACTATCGTCTTACTGTACTCTACTCAAAATCCCTGAATCAGGTTAAGGGTATTGCCTTTCGTCTCATGGATAATCATGGCCGGTTTACTACTCCACATTATTGGAGAGCATCGTCAGAGGAGATCAGAAGGCGCTAGTGTACCAAGAGGGGGGGGAGCGCTCCCTCCCAGCAACAAAAACCCAATTTTGCCAGACAAGGGAAAGCGCCAGGGTGTGCGCATTTCTGGACTTGAGCACGAACTAATGGAGCGTTCAGAGTTAGCGATCGTACTTGCGACTAGGTGATTATGCGATGACTCAAAAAAGTGCAGCATCGATCAAGCAATTAGATGATTACGCGAGAAGCGGGTAGGCGATAAGAAAATGATAGGTATCGATTGTTTGCTCCGCCGTTGAACGGTTGCCTACTGGATTTCAACGCTCTGTGGGTGGAGCAAAACCAATCAATACATCGTCGCCACCTTAAATCGTTACTCGAATCTTCGCCAGCTCGGCCTAATCTATACGTTACATTTTTCACTGTAGATTGATCGTCTCATGCAAAGCCGCACATCGCCAACTCTGAACCATCCTATGGCGGAAGTGGTGTAGTGACAAGTGGCGCGCTTACCACGCGAGCGGTCCCGAGATCAAATCCTGGGTCGTGAGTCGCCCGGGCCAACCAGGCCTTCCATCCCCTCGGGGTCGGTTAATTGGTACCTTGAGCAGATAATGAAAGCGGATATCGTCCGCGGTTTTGAAGTCCTTGATTGCTCAGACGGAACATGCCTCTCCCCCCCACTCGTATTACCACAGCGATTAGAAGACGAAGGATGGGTTCCGCTCTGAGTGAATGGTCCGTGTTGATTCGGATGGGACATGAGGAGTCTCCAATCACATCATTGAACATGTCCGTAATCAATCTTGGCTAAATCTCTCATCGTCTACAATCTACCATTCAATGTGCATCTTTTTTATTATCGCCCTAATCCCCTCCCAAACAAGGAATATGTGCGCTAGCTGAAAACCTTTTCCCCCCTTTAACGTTCTACAGTAAACTTCGGCCTCGATCAATAACAGCAACAAAGTTAAGTATGGGCAAACAGAACTTCCGCTGAACATTAGCAACTTTGCGAGATTTTGATTCCCTTCTGCAACAGCTGCACAAACTAAAGTGCAAATGTCTTGAAACGTCTGGAAAAACAATCGATTGGAATAAAATGCGTGTGTGAACTGGTGCTGGATCCATATTCTTTCCTAATGAGCGAAGCTGAATTCGATTCGTTCATAAGCTATAATTATAGCACCAGAGGTATAGTAAACCGACAGGCCTCACGGCACCCACTGCGCTGTATTCATTTCGCTTTTAGTACCAGCCTTTATCTCGCTCTCCTAAGCTGATGGTCGACTCGATTTATTCTCTGACTTGCGTTGGGATGGCCTGGCTTATCTCGGAAGTAATATTATCACAATATCATAACTGTTCGGAGACGAGAAGAGACACACCATCAGTGACGTCGGTAAAGAGAAAAAAAGCTACTTTCCTCCTGGCCGTCGTCACTTGTGGTGTGTGGTGTGCAACTCGACGCTCTTCTCGTCTTCCGAATTCGAGACTATGTGGACAGGCAGTTCGTGCTGCTGCGTCCGATCAATAATGGTTTTTTTTTGTTGGAAAATAATTTTCAGGAAAATAGTTTTCACATAGAGATCCCTGATTTGCTAGTTTAGTCCTACGAACTTTTATGTAGGTGCTACTAGCATCAGCACATGCCTTACAAGAGATGAGATTGGACACTCAAGCAAGTGGGGTTATTTTTCTAACATTTGTGTTGAGCGAAAATTTCATGTCTGTTTCCGCTTTCCCAGTTGATTCTTTTGTACATCAATACGGGTGTAAGAGAGCTTGTTAAAAAATGAATTTTTTTTTTGTGTTTCCAAGGGTGTGAAAACATGTTAGTGTCGTTCTCGGGTTGAGCCTCTGCCTGCGTGTTCGTTTTTTTACGCTGTTCGCGTAACGTCGGATCGATACAGCAACGTACCAGCTGAAGCCGCCGGCTACAGCCATGTTTTTTTTCGTAGTAAAGGGCAAGTCTGATTTTTCCTAGCAAACTGTCCTTTCCGTTATACGGTATTATGGCCATGGCGCAGTTTTTTTTCGGGTTGTATGACATCTAATCCTTTTGGTGCACCGGGAACCTGGTAGTAAGTAAGAATGCGTGAGCCAGGGGGAATGGGGCCAATTCAGGGGGTGGGGGGTGTGTGAGCCACTTAACCTGTGGCAAAAGTTTGGGCCTTAGTGTCTGGTGTCTGGCCTTGTGAAGGGAGACGCAGAGGAGCAAAAGGATTAGATGTCACAACACCTTTTTTTCGCTGAGCAGATTTTAATGCGTATCGATTAGTTCATGATTGCTGAGAAACGCAAACGCATGAGAGTATCGAAACGGGGCGAGGTG